ACGCTAAGTAAAGTAATCGGTGCACTCTTCATTGTCTTCCTCTGCAACCCTCAAACTCCTTCTCAGCCTGAATTTATGATCGTAGTTACTGAGCGAAAAAGTATCAGTTACTTCGATAGTGAGGAAGTAACCTGTCTTGATATTATCCTTTTCCAAATACATACTATCCGCGTTACTCCCAATCACGTTTTATAGCCGATTTCTGTTCCTCTCATGGCAGGCAAAGTTATAGGTTGACTATAATAATAGGAAATCGAGGTGCGTCTGATTTTGAGAAAAATACATAGGGAGAGTTTAAACTGTATAGTACACAGAAAAGAGGACGAATAGCTGGAATGTAAGACCGATACAAATCGAACAAATGATCTTGTGCGATCTACTATTTCTCGTTATGAATAACAGCTCGGAACCCAGTATAAAGCGATTTTCAAACCGTAAGCAACACGCACCTAAACACGTTATATATATATATCTTTGGTGCCATTTGGCACACAAAACACTCGCACTAACACGTGACGGCCAATAACTCGCGGAAAACTTCACGAAGACGTTCTGCTCAGATGCATGACTCAAACTAGCCATTTATTTCCTTTAATTCTGCGGAAGTCTGGCGTTTCCGTATGACATTTCGAACGTAGTTCTCGACGATGTCCACAGCGTACTCCACGGTAGGTTAGAAGCAAGCGCGGTGATTCGCACGTGAATAAGATTATAGTGTGAGTACACTTGCGATGCCTATATATCACACCCTCTCCCTCCCACACATGTACCCGGTGTCATGAGCAAGTCGTATGCCCGGAGACGGAAGAGGACCCTTAGTATGCAACAACACCTGGATCATACCCCAAAGAGTGGGAGTGTCATAAATGCCACATTAAGTAGGAGCCATTGCAACCTGACTCTCGGTCCGCTGTTCCAATACTCCACACACACTAGACTAACCACGCGGTCCTAGGTTCATTTTAAGCCATTTTTTTAAGATTGTGCTTCAGGGAATGTTGTTCTGCAGAGTTGACGTGCTTTGAGGGCTTTGCGCTACCATTTAGATGTTACTTTATCTTGACTTTCCCATCCCGTAGACCATAACGCAACCCACCAAGTCCATCCTACTGACTTTGGACTTTAGGCTACATACTTACCAGTGTAAGTATTTGCAAAGCGTATGCAAGAATACTAATGACAAACAGGATTGTAGCAAAGACGTGTAATGTTGGTTTGGTTTTAGTGCACTTAAATCAAAGCGGTAGAATAGAAAAATCACCGCATTGACCTCTTGATACTGGGATTTGGCAAATATAGCTCTATTTAGGATGCTCGAGGTGAAAATATTACAAATATTTAATAATTTTTTCCTCCTTAATAACTGAAAGACCTTTCTATTTGTTTAATATTCAACCCTTGATAGCTGTGTTTGCACAATTTGTACGATAACAGTATTTTAGCTAATAATTGGCTTCATAAATATTTATGAAGGTAGCAAGCACAGGCAGTAGGGAATAGTGTGATTTTATAGGCGACCAGGCAAACAACGAATAACATACACCCGCATTTATCCTTACAAATTAATAGACGTTTATCGCATTATCCCCATTAC